GCCCAGAATACTTACATTCCGCTCCTTGTAGACAAATAGAACGCCACGAGGACGAAGGGTCCGCTCGGTTTTATTTTATTTTATCTTACTTGATTTTAATTGACATTGTGTTATTATGATATGTTTTACGTGTTTATCTGGATAAGATACGTCTATAAATGATGAAAACTCGAAGAGGAGAGGCAGGCCGCTACCGATAACCAAACTGTGACACCACTTCTCTATTGTAACATGCAAAGTATACAGTTATTGTTTGTTAGCCTCTGTTCGAGACAGACAATGTATAATGTGAGACAAAAAATAAATAAATATGTGCATCTAGAAATGAAGGCAAATGAAGTGGAGTAGCCATCTTCTTTTCTAATTCTCTAAAAATGTATATTAAATATAAAGATCAAGATCCAGATGGTAGATTTATTATAGTTACAGGGAGTGCAGAATTATTAGGCAAGTTGTATTTTTGAGGATTAATTTTATTATTGAACAACAACCATGTTCTCAATGAACCCAAAAAACTCATTAATATCAAAGCTGAATAATTTTGGAAGTAGTTTTTAGTTTGTTTTTAGTTTTAGCTATGTTAGGGGGATATCTGTGTGTGCAAGTGACTATTACTGTGCATAATTATTAGGCAACTTAACAAAAAACAAATATATACCCATTTCAATTATTTATTATTACCAGTGAAACCAATATAACATCTCAACATTCACAAATATACATTTCTGACATTCAAAAAACAAAACAAAAACAAATCAGTGACCAATATAGCCACCTTTCTTTGCAAGGACACTCAAAAGCCTGCCATCCATGGATTCTGTCAGTGTTTTGATCTGTTCACTATCAACATTGCGTGCAGCAGCAACCACAGCCTCCCAGACACTGTTCAGAGAGGTGTACTGTTTTTCCTCCTTGTAAATCTCACATTTGATGATGGACCACAGGTTCTCAATGGGGTTCAGATCAGGTGAACAAGGAGGCCATGTCATTATATTTTCTTCTTTTATACCCTTTCTTGCCAGCCACGCTGTGGAGTACTTGGACGCGTGTGATGGAGCATTGTCCTGCATGAAAATCATGTTTTCTTGAAGGATGCAGACTTCTTCCTGTACCACTGCTTGAAGAAGGTGTCTTCCAGGAACTGGCAGTAGGACTGGGAGTTGAGCTTGACTCCATCCTCAACCCGAAAAGGCCCCACAAGCTCATCTTTGATGATACCAGCCCAAACCAGTACTCCACTCCACCTTGCTGGCGTCTGAGTCGGACTGGAGCTCTCTGCCCTTTACCAATCCAGCCACGGGCCCATCCATCTGGCCCATCAAGACTCACTCTCATTTCATCAGTCCATAAACCTTAGAAAAATCAGTCTTGAGATATTTCTTGGCCCAGTCTTGACGCTTCAGCTTGTGTGTCTTGTTCAGTGGTGGTCGTCTTTCAGCCTTTCTTACCTTGGCCATGTCTCTGAGTATTGCACACCTTGTGCTTTTGGGCACTCCAGTGATGTTGCAGCTCTGAAATATGGCCAAACTGGTGGCAAGTGGCATCGTGGCAGCTGCACGCTTGACTTTTTTCAGTTCATGGGCAGTTATTTTGCGCCTTGGTTTTTCCACACGCTTCTTGCAACCCTGTTGACTATTTTGAATGAAACGCTTGATTGTTCGATGATCACGCTTCAGAAGCTTTGCAATTTTAAGAGTGCTGCATCCCTCTGCAAGATATCTCACTATTTTTGACTTTTCTGAGCCTGTCAAGTCCTTCTTTGACCCATTTTGCCAAAGGAAAGGAAGTTGCCTAATAATTATGCACACCTGATATAGGGTGTTGATGTCATTAGACCACACCCCTTCTCATTACAGAGATGCACATCAACTAATATGCTTAATTGGTAGTAGGCTTTCGAGCCTATACAGCTTGGAGTAAGACAACATGCATAAAGAGGATGATGTGGTCAAAATACTCATTTGCCTAATAATTCTGCACTCCCTGTATATGTACTATCAATGAAGCATTGTTTACCTTAGTAAATGTCTATTTACCTAACAATAATCCTATGAGTCTCTTGAGAAAAGTGTTAGAGTAGACAAAGTGGGTTAAGGTATTAAGATTATTGCTGGAGATTTTAACAGTACACATGATCCTTTAATGGATAAGCTCTCTAATAGGAAGATCTTTGGACAAACATTTTTTTTAATAATTTTTAATAATTTACTGAAAAGAGAACGTCTATACGATATATGGAGAGTAAACAATCTTTCTCTTAAAGAATTTACATTCTATTCCTGGCCTCATGATTCACACTCTACGACAGATTTCTTTTTAGAAGAATTAAAGTTCATAAAAAGAATGCATAAAATAGAAATTAAACCAGAAACATGGTCAGATCATAACAGTGTAACTTTAGAGTTAAATAAAACTAATTATAGAGGAAACTATAATACAACATGGAGACTTGATGATACTTTACTACAAAATAAAGAATATAAAGACCATTTAGACAAAATTACAAAGTTTTATATCCCAAAAAAACTGGACAGGTAGAGGACGATACCCTATGCTGCTCTTATACAACTGTAATTAGAGGCCATTGAATTACGCTAAAGAAATTAAGAGACAGGAGGATTGGGGCAAGTTTAACGGGCCTTCATATATTATTATACAACTTAACTAAAGAAAATCACGCCAATCCGTCTAGGGAGAATCAGCTTAAAATAGCTAACATTAAAATAGAGATTCAAAATAAGACCTTTGAAAGAATTAAGAAAAATTTGTCAAAATTGAAAATTAAATATTATCACAAATATAAAAGAGCTGACAAGATACTAACCAATTGTAACGGACCGTTTTGCACAAAAAGGGAAAAAACCGCTTAGACGATAATCCCCTTTCAGAGACAGGCACAGCTACTGTAGAATCACCAAAACTCACGAATTGAATACAAGTGAATGCACCAAACTCCCGAACTGCATACAAGGGAATGCTCCAAACACTCGAACTGCATACAAGGGAATGGTCCAAACACTCGAACTGCATACAAGTGAATGCTCCAAACTCCCGAACGGCATACAAGGGAATAAGGTAGCACTCCAAATACACGAACAGGAACCATACGAATTGCTGCTACCAGACGGACAGGAAAAGCTCCCAAGCGGCTTACACTCCTGGCAATCAGTCCTTAGCAGCATACAGTAAATCCCCCCAAAGACGAGACAAGGCTCCGTGTTGAGGGTCAAGCAGTGGTCTGAGGTGCTGGCACACCCAGCCTGGTTTTTATTACAGTGTTTTCAAATACAGGACCGCCCACAGGGAGGTATAAAACAACCAATAACATCACAGTTACATCCCACATATTCCCTCCCCTTATCCTGAGAGGAAACTCAATTATACATACAGTTAAAACATACTTTCTACCCAACTCTCATAACTCTAAAACCATACATCACATTCACATAAAATTACATATGCACAATCAATCCATTCAGGGGAACAACATATTCAAAAATGGCACAAATCAGACAAGGGGGTCAAAAGTTAGTAAAAAGTCCTTTGTGACTAAATGAAGCATGGCTTTCTGGCCCAAACCTGTTTCAGAGTCTTCTATCCTGGAGATAAGTAATTCAATTATCTCCCAGGACAGACACAAGACTCCATTAAGCACATGGTTGCAAAAGACACAAAACACTTTAAAATACATAAAGTCACATTTTACACATAACACACAGACATTTCACATATCCCCAGATAGCTCAGGTCTGAGCGCACATTATTAAGTGAATGGCGCTCAGACCACACGAATACAGTTTAATCGCCATGGAGCCAAAGTCTTTACAGTCAGTTTCATACAAATGGGCTCCATGGAATTCCTATCTGGGGAATAACACATTCAAACAAATCTACTGAACCCCAGGCAGAAAAGCACGAATACAGATTTTCTGCAGGCAAAAATAAAGTCTTTTAAAAGGGGGCCATAGTCCAAAGGCAGCAGGCGAGCAACCAGGCTTCTCCAATGCAATGTGGCGAGATTGGTCTCGTCACACCAATATGTTTAAAAAAAGAAATACAATTAACTTAGTTGATAAAATCTGTTTATCACCGGAGGAAATAGGTAAGGCTTTGAACGAGTATTATGCAAAACTGTATAATCTTACAGATATAACTCTGTCAGATATCATTAAAGAATATATTAAATTGGCTAATCTATCTAAACTATCAAATTCACATTTAATTTTATTAAATAAAGACATTTCGGAGGGAGAGCTTATAAGGTTCTATCGATAGACAAGAGAATTACAAAACTCCAGGACCAGATGGATTTGGGAATAGATTTTAAAAGGAGATGAAAGTTCAAATAAGTCATCTAAAGAACAATTTTAACAATGCGGTCTCTAAAGGAAGGTTCCCAAGTGAAATGTTGAAAGCAAACATCTTACCAATACTTAAACCTGGGATCCAACCAATGTAAATAGCTATAGCCCAATATCCCTAATTAATGTAGACATCAAGTTATTCTCCTCTGTTATTGCCTATTGAATGAAAGAAGTTTTGAAACATTTAATCCATCCAGACCAAAAAGGCTTTGTACCTGAAAGAATGGCAAATAAGGGGGGGGGGGGGGCTTAGCCGCGGAACGAAGCAGGCAACATTTTTGCTGCTCCGACGGCGCTCTACACAATCCGCTGAAAATCCACCAATACACTGCCCATCCAGCCAAATCACGAGAGTACCCGCGAGCGGAGGCCACCCGGTGCCGGTACATTACTTTTTTAGCAAAATCCAGCCAAAACCGGGTGCGGAAGAAGACCGCAGCCTGTCGCCTCCCTGTACACCTCGAAGATCTCTTCAGGTGCATCCCACACCAGGGAGAGCTGAATTGGGGCACAGACAAATCATCATCAGCACAGCAGCCCGCGAACATGGGAAGATGCTCTCAGAAACCCACCACAGGTACACCAAACTAATCCTATGACATAGGGGCCCTTTTGCAGCGACAGGTCCAGCCCAAAATGGCAGCCCCGGTGTACCAGGAGATCCCAGCCGACCCTCAGGCCCAAACACCTGACCACCCTCCAGCACACACCCCACCACTAGCAGCAGAGACACCGGCTGCAGGCTTCCCTGATTTCTCAGCACTGGCCACCAAGCAGGACATTAAAAACTACCTTACGGAATTTCGCCAAACGCTATCCACAGATATAGCAATAATACAGGCTGACCTACAGGTGGTCATGGACAGAGTGAAAGCAAACGAAGAGGACATCATAGATGTGAGGCAGTATATGTCCAAAATGAAGGACTCTATCCAAGCCGTCCAAAAGACACAACAAGCTTTCTCCGCACACATTGCCACGCTGGAGGACCACTCCAGGCGTAACAACCTGAAGATACGTGGGGTGCTGGAGTCCTTCACCATGGCAGAGATGCCCCACTACCTGAGACGACTAACAGCCTCCCTGCTGCCACCGTCACAGGCCAAAAAGCTTGTTTTTGATGGCATGTTTCGCCTACCTAAATCACCAAAGGCCCCAACAAACTTTGTGAGTGACATCATAGTCCGCAGCACCATGGCTCATGGCTCTCTGCACTAAGAAGCCAAACTCCCTACACATTTGAGGGAGCTGAACTGTCCTTCTACCAGGACCTGTCAAGGCCCACCTTACAATGGCGCAAATCACTCCTCCAGGCCACAAGCCAACTGAGACACGCGGAAATACCATACCAATGAACTACTCCATGAGCTCTCACGGTGAACCATAATGGGACTAACCACAGAATCTTCTCAGCCGAAGAGGCGCCTGCACTGTGGTGGGCACTAGGACTTACAATCCCCGATGAGGAGACAAGAGACCGGAGGGCAACACCGACCTGGAACCCAGCCACAGTAGTCCCCTTCACCCCAGGGAACCACAAGGCTACGGACACCGAGACATGACTGGGTCCTAACTCCAAAGAGCAAAGAGCAACTATGGACTGCACTCATTCCACAAACCTTTACCCCTGTTTTGATGACTCATTATGTTTTTCGATGTTCATAAGGCTAGACAGGGTTACCAAACCCGGTGCACCTTACCACGTGACAGAAGGGTAGGCATAGGGCTAAACACCCACTACGACTCTCCCCCCTCCCCCACAGCCCCCTTGGTTAGGGGTATTACAAGCCAAAACCCACCCACTCACTTGCCGCCGCAACACTGCCTCTATCTAGGCCCCAAAATGGAACACCAACGTTCGCCACGACAAGAGGCACCCACAGACTGCCACATCCGCAGACCTAAGCCCACTGCAACCCACACAGCAACCGACTGACAGTAATAACTCTAGTGATCCAAACCTAGACCTACCCAACCCAGTTCTCGACCACACCTAGATAGCCTCCAGGGAGGCACCACATTCTCACAAGCACAGGCCAACGGATACTGATTATAGTCGGGACAGGGATGCCCTCATAGCACCCACCAAAATGACAAGTGACTCTCAAGAGAGGGCCCAGGCCAAGTGACATCAAAACTAGGACACACAACCTAGAGCATATTGCCACACTGCACCAGGTACCCTGCTTACACACTAAAAGTTTACTACTGTTGTGCTAGCGCAATATCTGGTTTATGATGCTTGTTTTAACAAAAAATGGTGCAACTCTCTCAATATGTCTGGTGCTCATACACCTTCACAATATCACTTGATGACATGTTATGGACCTGCAAATGTTCTTTACATAAAAAAATAAAGAATTCAAAAAAGAATGGCCAATAACAATATCAGAAGATTGATTGATGTAATAGATGTATCGCAACTAAATTTAAACCCCATGCTGATCCTGTCACTAGACACCGAAAAGGCATTTGACAGGGTCAGCTGGACTTTTATGGAAAACACTTTAGAAGCATTTGGAGTATCAGGTTGGCATTTAACTGCAATTATGGCACTATATAGAGATACAATGGCTAGAACAATCGGACCTAACATATGTTCAAACTGGTTCAATTTGAAAAATGGCACTAGACAGGGATGCCCGTTATCTCCCATCCTCTACATATTAACTATAGAAGTACTGGCCAATAGAATTAGACAGAGCACAGAGATAAGAGGTTATCAAAGAAAAAACAATTAATTAAAGCTGTCACTCTATGCTGATGATACCATTTTGTATCTAACAAATACCTCAACTTCTCTACCAAATGTTATGTCAGAGATAGAATTATATAGTACAGTTTCAAACTATAAATTAAATAAAACAAAATCAAATGTATTATATATTAATATATCTAAAAAGAACATAGCTATTTAATCAAGAAAATCATGGTTTTATGAATGCAAAAACATTTATATATTTGGGAATTAAAATCGGTAAGAATATAAATAGTATGCAAATAAATTTTATAGATCTCTTAAAGGAAACTAACAAAAACCTAAAAGAATGGAGGAAACTAGAAATAGCCTGGGAGGAAGAATATCTTGAACTCATATGTTCTTCCGAAATCCTGACACCTTGATTAACAATGGTAAGAGCTGCTTCTCTAATTTTGTGTGGAAAGGAAAAAACCTGGGATTAAAACTCATTGATATCTAGAGGAACCAAAAACGGGGAACTAGGATATCCAAATATAACAAAATATGCTGAGGCTGGCATAATTATGCATGTAATGACATGTTAGTTATAGAAATGGAAGTCAATTGAAGGATCCAGTAGATCTAATATGGAACATAAAAAAATGTAATCTATCCAGCTCCTATATTCTGAATCGAATTATACCTATATGGTATAAAATTAACAAGAAAATTAAAAAACATTTGACTTTCAAAGTTTGAACTCATTAGAAATAATAACGAAGAACATCTCTTTAAAAACATGGAAAGCCAAACATCTAAATGTAATTAAAGATTTAGTTTGAGATAATAAAATAAAATCTTTCAATATGTAGGTAGAAGAGTATCACTTGACAGTCAAGGACATTTTTACTTATACCAGGGTTAAACATTTTATGGATAAAGTTATATTGGTATCAGAAGAAAATGTTTACAAAATAATAAAAACAATATTACAGGAGAATAGAGTAAAAAAGCTTTTCTCTAGATGTGTTAAACTGACAGAGAAAATAATATCACAGAAACACCTACAGTAGTGATGTCGCGAACATAAAATTTTCGGTTCGCGAACGGCGAATGCGAACTTCCGCAAATGTTCGCGAACGGGCAAACCGGGCGAACCGCCATAGACTTCAATAGGCAGGCGAAATTTAAAACCCACAGGGACTCTTTCTGGCCACAATAGTGATGGAAAAGTTGTTTTAAGGGGACTAACACCTGGACTGTGGCATGCCGGATGGGAATCCATGGCAAAACTCCCATGGAAAATAACAGTTGATGCAGTGTCTGGTTTTAATCCATAAAGGGCATAAATCACCTAACATTCTTAAATTGTTTGGAATAACGTGCTTTAAAACATCAGGTATAATGTTGTATCGATCAGGTAGTGTAAGGGTTACGCCCGCTTCACAGTGACAGACCAAACTCCCCGTTTAAAGCACCGCAAACAACCGCAAACAGTCCATATGCACAACCGCAAACTCCCCATTTGCACAAGGTTGGATCCCAAGCTAGCCATGTCCCGTTCCTTGTCCTCACTGATGTCATTGAAGGGCTCTTCCTCCAACCAACCACGTACAACACCAAGGGTTTCCAAAAGGTGACAACAAGCCCCCTGGGATGCCTGCTGTGTTTGGTCTTCCACCTCCTCAAAGCCACCTTCCTCCTCTGACTCCTCTTCTTCAGACTGTTACGTCCCCTATCAGGGGACATGTATATGGCATCGATTTTAGGAACCGGGAGATGGAAAAAGATGCTTGGTCGGTCCTCCTACTTCAAATTTGGGGCACTGCGCCTGCAATCTAATGTGCCACCAGATAGGAGTGGTGTGTTAAGTAGTACTATTCTTATCAGTTTAATCCCAATGTCATGACTACTAGTGTGGTCCAGCACGCAGAAACTATGTAAACATATACATAGGCAAGAAAAGGAAAACAAAAGAACAGAGTGTAAACCGGACCTTAGAATTGCCGGACTAATACGCTAGAGACGCCACAATACCGTTTACACAAGCCAAGTCAGGGAAACCAGAATTCAGAATAACCAGGGAAAAGCCAAGATCAGGATACCAGGAAATCAGATTCACAATGATAAAGCACTCTCAGGAAACCAGGAACAGGAAACCACGACAGGGCAAGGTACTGGGGTGAGCTAGGGATTTAAATATCACGCGGCGGGCCGGCAGCCGCGACACCCTGTTACGTCCCCCTCATCAGGCCTTTTTTAGTCGAATGTATCGCCCACTGTCAGTCCCTTCAGGATCCATCCCTCATTCATCTTAATAAAGGTGAGGTAATCTAGACTTTTTTGACCTAGGCGACTTCTCTTCTCAGTGACAATACCTCCTGCTGCACTGAAGGTCCTTTCTGACAGGACAATTGAAGCGGGACAGGCCAGAAGTTCTATCGCAAATTGGAATAGCTCAGGCCACAGGTCAGGCCTGCACACCCAGTAGTCAAGGGGTTCATCACTCCTCAGAGTGTCGATATCCGCAGTTAAGGCAGGTAGTCTGCTACCTGTCGGTCGAGTCGCTCTCAGAGGGTGGACCCCGAAGGGCTGTGGCGATGCATAGGACTTAAAAAGCTCCGCATGTCCTCCATCAACAACACATCTGGAAAGCGTCCTGTCCTTGCCGGCGTGGTCGTGGGAGGATTACTTTCACCTCTTCCCCTGTTAGATTCCCGTTGTGCTGTGACATCACCCTTATACGCTGTGTAAAGCATACTTTTTAATTGATTTTGGAACTGCTGCATCCTTTCCGACTTGCCGTAATTCGGTAACATTTCAGGCACTTTCTGCTTATACCGGGGGTCTAGTAGCGTGGACACCCAGTACAGGTCATTCTCCTTCAGCCTTTTTATACGAGGGTCCCTCAACAGGCACGACAGCATGAATGACCCCATTTGCACAAGGTTGGATGCCGAGCTACTCGTGTCCTGTTCCTCGTGCTCAGTGATCTCACTGAAGGTATGTTCTTCCCCCGAGCCACGTACAACACCACGGGTACCAGATAGGTGACAATGAGCACCCTGGGATGCCTGTTGTGGTTGGTCTTCCTCCTCTTCAAAGCCACATTCCTCCTCTGACTCCTCTTCCTCACAATCCTCTTCCAGCGTTGCCGCAGGTCCAGCAAGCGATGCAGATAAGGCTGTTTCTGGTGGTGATGGTGACCACAACTCTT